TGATTACGCAAATTAAAATATTTTTCTTTGTTAAAATCCGTTGGTCTCGCTTTGTATTTTGATTATGTAAGTCAAGGTGATGGTAAATGTTTCTACTAAGCTAAACTAAACTGTTACAGATAAATTAAAAAAAAGGAAAATTTAATCTACATCGTTCTAGAAATTGTTTTTATCACGTTTATTGTATTACTTACTAATTATGACGTCATATCATTTTACAATCATAAAAATTGCTTGTTATCAAAATAATAAAAATTGCTACTTTAAAACGAGTAAAGGTCATTGGCGGTCGAATATCGACCGTTTTCAATGTTTTGTTATTTGAACGATAATTTAACTTTATTGGAAGCGATTGACCAATTAGTTTCCAAGAAATTATTGGTTCGTATAAAAGCTTGGAACCTGATTGGTCACGGTGCGGGGCTTGATCGATACGTCATTATTTTTTTAACGCGAATGGACTATAGCATAACTTGTATTTGGCCGCAACTTCTTCCTCGTGGTGACCCACATCAACCATCGTAGAAGATACAAACAAGCAATCAAAATCATATATTTAAAAGCAGAAACTGATGGAATATTCCTTTATTTAAACATTCAAACAAATTCAAAATATCTTTATTTAAAAAACAATAATTGAAATCGTCTTTTATGTAGACTAAAGTTGTAGATCATCACACGTCAAATAGTTAGATTTTTTTTTATAAAAATTTTGCTTATATAAAATCTATGATATGCCTGTGCCGATCCATGCCGTTTCCAAGGGGTTTCAGCTTTATAAGAAGAAAAGGCAAACAAACTCATGGCCACTCTTTTGCAATTTACAGATAAATACAATGGCATCATTAAATATACCACAACATTGTTCCGATGTGTGCCAGTGTGTCCGTTATTAAGGACTAAAAGGTAAAAAGACAGTAAAGAGAAAAATAAGATTAGGAAAAAAGAGAAAGTGAAGTGAAAAACAAAAGAACACCCTAGCCCACGTGGGCTATTTCTCAAGTGGAAATGTGACGTCACATTTCCACTTAAGAAATGGCCTGCTCTAAATTATTCCAAAGCATTTTTGTCTTCTATGTAATCCAGAATTGAATAATAGGCTTTCTGACATAATTTACGTTTAACTTCGGATTTAAATTTGTTAGTACTTAAGTCTTGAATATCATTTGGGATTTTTTTATAAAATCGGACACATTGACCTCGAAACGACTTGTTTATCTTGTGGAGCCTAGAGGCAGGTACTATAAGTTTATTTCTATTTCTAGTATTTATAGAAAGTACATCACTTTTTTTCAAAAAGCTTATCTTGTTTTTATGTACATATGTATATTACATTTTCATATATATGTATATATATGTATTGACATGCCACAGTCATTATGTTTTTTTCTTTATATTTCTGCCTCAATGAAAAAATATTGTTTAAATTATAAAGTGCTTGATTCGCTTTCTTTTGCAGTACAAAAATAGGTTGAATGTCGGCATCATTCCCGAATAGTAGAATACCGTACGATATTATGCTGTGAAAATGACTGATGTTAAAATAACTGACAAGTCGTGCTGTATCAACATCAGTCAACTCTCGAATTTTTCATACTCCGTATGCTGCTGAGCTGTGTCTACTCGATAATTTATCATGTGGGCCCTACTGTAGCTTAGAAACTAGTGTTATACCTAAAAATGTCGTAGTATCCACTAGGTCCAACTCGAAATCCTTAACCATCTTAACCATCCTTCCTGATCCATAGAGTCTGGCCTGGCCGTGTGTAAGATCTGTCACGTTATTATTATTCTTAACTGTTTTATATCGATATACCTATATGTTTAATATGTATAAATTTTCAATGCAAGGGTCATTAAATTTTATTGTATGAGAAGAAAGATTTATTCCTGATATGTTGTTGATGATGGTTCTTGTTAGTAACTAATTCGCTTTTTCTTATAAAACATGAACATTCGTTTTAGTTTTCATAGTGTAACTAGCCTTAGTTCCATTTGCATGGAAAATTATTTCATAAATTTTGACCAACTGACGCTGTTCCTATTTAGTTCGTCTAATAGAATGAAGTAACCCTTGCATGAAACAGGATCGACTCGTATCATAAAATACATACGACAACATTATTAATGTTTATAAAACTCAAACTCAAACTCTCTTCTCTCTTCTCTCTCGCCTTCTTGGATGTCCAGTCTTGGAAGATGGTTTTCAATCTTTTATAGAGGACAAAATTAAAATTTTTGGTGATTTTTCGGATCTTTTACTTAAAATTAATGTCCATTCGGCTTTTACTATACTCCGTTTTTGTCTTTTTGTACCTAAATTTATACATGCACTTCGGTCATCCCCACTTTGGAAACACCCATCACTTATAGAAAAAGTTGACAAAATTATTCAAAACACCCTCAGTAAAGTATTGAGTATAGCTTTTAATGATCGAACCTGGCTCCAAGCATCCTTACCAGTTCGTCTGGGTGGTCTTGGAGTACGCAAAATTGTAGATGCCAGCCTTCAAGCATTTCTGTCTTCGGTCCATGACACAGAAGAGTTAACCAGGAAAATTCTAATAAGCACACTGGTTGATTCTGAAGTGCCTTGCAAGGCCGACGCGATACATGCCTGGCGGATAGCTTGTCCCAATACAATATTACCTGTTAATCCATCCTCTTAGAGACAATGGGACGCGCCACTATGTATTTTAAAACAAAAAACATTGATCAATACAGCAATAAATCTTGCTGTGGGATCGTTTGTTAGCTGTGGGAGAATGGGAATCAGGCTTATGGATTCAGGCACTTCCATCGCCCAACATAGGCGCTTTGTTGGACGACATTACATTTCGCCTTGCCACTTGTCTTCGATTAGGTGCGCCTTGTATTTCTCCGCATCTTTGTCACTGCGGAGAAGCTGTTGACAGTCTTGGACATCATGGCCTTTCTTGTAGCAGAAGCGCTGGCCGTATATCTCGACATGCCGATATTAACGACATTATCCGTCGGGCTCTTGTTACCGCCGGAGTTCCAGCTGTACGTGAACCCAATGGTCTGGTTCGAGACGATGGGAAGAGACCGGACGGTATGACGTTACTGCCATGGAAGATGGGTAAGCGTCCCACACCAAAGGGTGTGGGACGCAACCTGCGTCGACACCCTTGCGCCATCACATTTGCCAAGCACTGCTGGTTTCGCCGGCGCTGCTGCTGCATCTGCAGAAACCTTCAAACGGCGTAAATATCAGAAATTACTAGGAAATTACATTTTTGAACCGTTTGGGGTCGAAACTTTAGGGTCATGGGGTCCAAGTGCTCGTACTATATATAAACAGCTAGCTAAACTACTTATTGACACTTCTCGTATTCAGAAGGCTGGTCTTTTTCTAGCACAGAGAATTAGCATTGCCTGAATGGCAATGCTGCCAGTCTTCTGGGAACACTACCAGTAGGCGATGATGCGGGGGAATTTTTTGATGCTTGTATGTAGATAGTGTTAATGTTGTAAATATTCTAACTTAATTTTATTTTATTTTTATTCTTTATTTTATTTTTATTTTTGTACTACTCGTAGATACTAGAATTTCCTCTCTTATTTTTCACTTTCTTGCACCTTTTATTAGCTTTAAAAATTGTTGTTGTTATATTTAAGTGATCTTATTTGATATTATATTTGTTATATATAAGACACTATGTATATATATGAATAACTCTCTTTATTTCATAAAATTTTCAAAATTGATTGATCAGTCATAGATCAACACACACAAAAGCAACAATCTCTGTTTTGTCAAATAGTAAGCAAATCAATTTTACAAAAATCATCCCATACAAAAATCTATGATATGCCTGTGGCGATCTACAACCGCCCGTTTCCAAGGGGTTGAGCCTTATGAGAAGAAAGGGCAAACAAACTCATGGCCACTCTTTTGCAATTTACAGGTAGATACAATGGCACTATTAAATATACCACAACAATGTTTTGATGTGTGCTAGTATGTCCGTTATTAAGGTCTAAAAGGTAAAAAGACAATGAAGAGAAAACAAGATTAAGAAAAAAAAAGGAATACAAGAGAAAATGAAGTGAAACATAAAAAATAGAAAAATAAATAATAATAAAAAACACACTTTCTTAAGTAAAAATTTGGTGTGGCTAACACCACATTTTTACTTAAGAAAGAAATAGCCTGCGCTAATTAATCCCAAGCATTCTTGTCCTCCATGTAATCCACAATCGAGTAGTAGGCCCTCTGGCACAAGCCACGTTTTATTGCGTTAAACAACTCAAACTTGACTGCACGGATGGCGTAGTGGTTTAAGCGGTCACCTCGCCGCTTCCCACTGCACTGAGTGTGGTGGTTTCGATTCCCACATGGGACAACACTTTGTGTGAGCCACAAATTGTTGTGCTGAGTCTGGGTGTTCGTTATGTCCATTTCATTATTTCATTATGAATATTTGTGAAGCCCCCGCGACATAGGATAAGTATCCTAAGAAAAAAAGAAAAAGAAATAGTAACTCCTCTACTCCTTTGTAAGACATAAATTGTAAATAATAATATTTAATCGTTAAAAAAGATTTTATTGTAAATACACAAACTAATTGTAAACTAATTCAGTATAGTATTTGTCATCCCATCTCACCTTGGCAATGTTAGAATCGGAAATCAAATACGGATTATGGTGAAATGCGGTAGTATGTCAATTTTATTGTTTGTGTATAATGTTCTCAAGAAAAACCTAGATCCCTAGAGTCTAATAATAAGAGTATAATGAACCCCACTCAAACACACACATAAAAATCATAAAAAAATTGTCTAGCGGTTTAAGAAAGTTTCAAAGCCATGCACATGTTCACACTACGTACGCAAGAAGATATATATACAAATAAATAAAATTGAAGTGTCTCATGCAGTCGCATATCGCTATGGCAGCGCTTTTCAAATTCCACGCGAACGAAGTCGTTGATACCAGCTAGTTTATAAAGAAGATAATATATTATGACTTTTTTTAGATTGTGGCAACAGGAGCTTTCATCACAATAGTATTGCCACGGTTTCGAATCCCGGCTGAAGCCATATCACAGCAGATTGTGACAGTGGCGTTGTTTAACTTCTTCCGTCTTCTCATCGCAGAATGTGGTGGAATGGACGAAATTATCAGGTCAGTATTGCACACTTATTTAATTATATTAATTAAAAAAAAAAGGAAAATAAATATATTTGCAGAATCAGAATAAAATCTAGGTTACATTTTCTATATGATTTTCATCTTATAGACATTAGATTCTTATATAAAGTTTATTACTAAAGCTAACATAAAACTAATATATGTCTATTCTAAAATGTGCAAGATTGAATATAAAGAGGTAAAACAAAATATTAAAAATTATTTTGCAAACGGCCTGAGCTAGGTGTGAGACCTGTGTTTCAGGCAGTCGCTTGACTATGTTAGTTACAGGACGTTCATATGTTAAAGTTCTAATAGATTGATAATGTAAATTACTTCAGACTGGTTTGTATACACAAATATATATTACTTATTGTTTAATAACCTAATTATAGTTTAAATTATATAATTTTAAGATTGATTTATATAATTTTAATTTTAAAATTGCTAGGATGTTTTCTGCGTCTGCGTAGTTAAGCTTACCTAAATATTCTCCTACTAGAGTTGGACACTTTGTATACGAAACGGCATATATTTTCAAAACTTTTTTTATCTTATCAAATAGATGGTGCTAAGAAAGGATAAAATTTGTTAATGTACTTATGCGTTGTTTGGGGTTTGATACATACAATGTCGTTCCTTCTCTTGTCTAAGAACATAGGATTAAATGGTAGTTTCGCGTGTTGTTTTAGTATGATTTGCAATATAAATAACTGTCGAACTGTTAATACTTTATATTCCAGATAGAGTTCATAAACCAATTTAATAAATTTGAAATTAAAAAACTAATTTAGAGAAGAATTCAGCTTTTTGTTGAACCTTATTTGAGTACTATATTTTTATATTTAACTATATTTTTATAAAAACATTTATTTTTAAAGTATCCGTACCTTAAAAGAACAGTTGATTTGATAGGAAAGATAAATTTATCCTACAAACCGTCATGCTTTCCAAATTGTTATTGATTCTAGTTTTTTAGTAAGGACCGAACATTGGTTGGAAAATCTTTGCCTCATAAACTAAATGTTCAATAAATCCATACTACTCTGTTAAAAAATAAATGTTGTCCTAATAAACAAGGTTCTTTGATCTTTAAAATTCACCAATAATCTATTGATAGCGATCCTTGTAAAAGCGCTTTTGCATTCGATTGTAGTTATTTGGCACATTGGTTTGCATGTGCGATTTATTACGACAGATAATATGATTTACGGTCCTTTGTTGTGAGGAATTACAAAATTCCGTTCACGATATCAAGATGGCCGATGGCGGCCATCTTGATATCATTCATGAATCTGTATATGAAAACAGTTTTGCATACTAATACAAGTAATACACAAATGCAGTTACTTTTCCTTTTATTTATTTAAGATAGTATCTACTAGTAAATGTTTCCAACGGGGTAGGCCCGTGGTTTCTCCGGGTTAGGGCATGAGAGGGTATTCAGTGGAAGCACCACATCCTGGCTTCTGATCCTAAGGGGTTTTCCACCCCGTCAACAAAAAAGGGTGCTATTTCCAAACAATTCAGTTTCAGATAATATTCGACACTTCTAAATTGCAATGAGTGTAGTCGACCCAGACTACAATCCTTTTTTAAATATGTAAGTACTGTAATAATACAACGTTACACTGGCCTCACTGACTCTATCTCGTACCTTGTCACCAAATTACATTGATTTATTCTATTTTTTTCAGAAAATTTAGTTCCGATCTATCCCACACTCGCCCTCCGTTTCCCCAACGCAGGGTATGGTGTAAAATGTATTCCCCGCGTAAAGAAAAAGTAAATAAAAGATTATTTTAGATTATTTAAGATTCAGTTGTGAGATTTTTTTCCGATCAAATACTATTTAGATCAGTAAATCCTATCGGCTAATGTAATCACAGTAAAATCTCTACAATAAATGTTTCACCTTACAAGCCAACATATTTAATTCTAGTTTACTATTATGTTACCAGCTATTTTAGTGTTATGGGTAACAGAGTAGCTAAAATAACATGACAATTATGCACCTAAGTCGTCGGTGTATAAGGAAGTCAATTATTTTCTTCCAAATTGAATATCGTTTAAGTCGTATTTGAACTATTATACTTCATAAAAAACAATCTAATGTATCAATAAATAATCAATTTGTATAGAAACTTAAAATACACTTCCGCGTGTGGATATATTCCTATATAAGGTAGTATTTTTTTTGTGGTGTAAGAAATTGCCAATTATTATAACAAAGACGAACGAAACTACTGAAACTATGGTACGTGTATCTGATTATTCAAACACTTAAAGGATCACTCTGTTTGTCATGTACCGCCGCCGTAACTTAAAAGCGAATGGTCGGATTCGTATTTAAATAAAAAATTACGTGTAGGACTTGACGATTAGAACAATTCGCAAAAATATATTGATAAGAGTTCATATCATGATACAAAACATGTCCTCACCATTATGATAATGAACCTAAGTTTCTATAGATATATACTTATTTAAGTTATGCCTCACAAACAAACACATTAAACTTTTCTGTTTGTAAAATTAGTTTAGATTGCATTTGTGTTGTGTTGTTATTATAAATATAACTGTTGGTTTTTTTTTTCGTAAATGTGAAAGGATAACTGTTGGTAATATGTTTATTCTTTTAACATTACTAATATGATAAATACGAGAGTTAATTTGTTTGTTTTTAAACTTTTGTATGTAAAGCTTCGACGACTTAATTACTTACAATCATTCAATGTTTACGTTCTTTTCAAAAATACATAAATCAGAGAATTACTTTGTCAGTACGTTTTTATCAGATGTCGCATAATTTAGGTGAAAACATGAATTTGGAACATAGGAAGCTACCAAATTATGATGCACACGCAAACACAAGGCCTAAGGGCTCGCCGCACGCCAAAATTGATGTCCCCACGGTATGTTAACACGCTAATAATCATAATGGACCTAATAGTCCTATTTTTATGTTTTATTAAATCTATTTATCGCATTAAAACGAAAAACTACATTATTTGAAGGCCATTAAAGTCATCTAAACTTTTATATATCTTATAAAAAAATGGCAATTTCACATGGAATCTATGTTATGTACTTACACAAGTTGCCGGCAATATTTTTTTACAGTTAATGCAAAATTATTACTAACACGAAAATAAAGTTGGAAAGACAGCGCTAACGAAAGGTCTATGCAGTTGACCTGAGAAAATTTAAATTCAGACGCAAATGAAATATATATGACCAATATATTTTTTCATATCAGTGGCTGTTACAATGCATTTTAAAAAAGAATTTAATTTTAATAATACATTGTAATATCCTTCCGTATGAAGGTTCCTAAGTAGTAGTAGTAGTAGTTTCTGTAAAGTTAATAGACTTGTATACTTAGGAACTCGTAAACCATTATTCAAAGTACAACAATGGAGAACAATGCAATTATCCTTATATTAACTCAGTACGCATCAAAAAAATATGTATTATATTATAATTTATAATCTATTCGTTTTACTTTAGTCACATTTTAGTCATTCTATTTCATCACCAAAGATGAAGTCATTCTCTTTCATCACCAAGGCTACACGATGATCGCCAGAAGTGGGACGTTACTTTATATTAAGATGATACAGGATCACTTGCACTGTGAAGTAGATCTAGTAGTAGAATGTGACTAGATTGGCATATTTTTTTATAAAGGTACAGTAGTCGGCTTATTAGCCTCGACACAAGGACGCAAGGGTCACCTTTGTCGTATGGTTGGTTTAGTTATTTTTGGCTGATCTAATATCTTAACGGTAATTTGTAACTTCTAACAATTGAAATCTACTTAATGAACTTTGACTATTGAAGGTTTTCGATTTTTTTCCTAAACCATATTCCAAAACTGCTTTCGTAACATTCTAAGTTTTAATGGGTTGTTCTGTTTGAAAGTTATGTCGTACTATTGAATCCCTACAGAGTTCAGGCATATATGTGGTAGATGGCCATGGCCAAGAGGTAAAGCAGAACATAGTTGGCGAAACGCATCGTTACAAACGGAAAATAGTCAAACAGAGATAATAGTAGGTGATTAATTAGTGTATTGTCATCGGTCCTCGATATATCTACAAAGTTTGAACGAATTCTGACCTTTTAAAGTCAGTCAAAATCACGCCCAAAGGAGTCGGTTACAAACATACAAACAAAGAAAATTAGAACTTATTTCGATATTTGTTGAGAAAGGCTGGTTGTTTAAAGTTATGGTTTCTTTAGTCGCTCAACGATTAACTTGGAGATGAACTACAGTACTTAGACTGAACTTTGCGTGGAAAACTTTTTTTATTGGTTAATAGAATAGACGATGGACTTCTAACTTACCTGATGGAAAGTAATGACGTCAAAAACCTATTCACTGTACTTAGCGTTCCAGAATTATTAAAAATTTTGAAAAATTGTCGATCAGAGGGCCAAGTGCGAGTTTATTTCACTTCTACTCGATCGTCACGGTGACCACGTTTGGCGCTACCTATGGCCCGCACTCAAATCTCCACCAATCGCAACGCTAAACGCGCTCGCCGTCGAGAGCGAGTCGACGTGAAATAAACTTGCACTCAGCCCTCATAGTGATTTACAGCTACTAACTTCTTCGTGGACTTTAATACTGAAATTAAACATTCTATCATTTAATATAATACGTAAGTACATAGAATTAAAGTTTTCAAGTTATAACCTAAGATCTAATGTTCATCATGTCGTTCGTTGCTAAGCGCATCTCTTGAAGAGGGCTAGACCGATTTCACAAATAATAATAATATCTAAGATATTTTTGTAGGGTAAGCCATCTAGTTTCAAATAAAAATTTAATCTTAATATTAAACTCAACTAATTAATCGTGACATTGTTCACAAAGGAATAAGCAAATTGACATCAAATTCAAGACCCTTCCAAAACATCAAAGCAGATCATGTTTGATTACATCACCAGTCAGCTCTAGCCGTAAGACTCGCACTGTTGGATATAGACTGCCCTAAGACCTTTAAGACCGTTGAAGTTGACCGTTTAAATAAATATCTGAATAATAACTGAAATAATGTTAACTGTATCTAAATTACTGTGGCCATGAAATTCATTTTACATATTTATTTATTTGTCTTATAGAGGACTTTATTGAATTATTTACAGACGAACCAGTGGCTTACACTTGGAGACGCGGGTGCTGCCGTGTTGTTGCTGGCCTTGTTGTTTTATCCCAAGACCGATGATAACAAAGTAAGTGATAATGGATATGTTTAGTAAAAACTATTAGAGATCCCTAAATTAATAAAATATACGAGATAACACTATGTTTGCCGCCTCCTCCTCTTATAGGAGAGGTCGACCATAATACTGACTTTCTAGATTTCAGTTGTCTGTGTGAGAAGGCATTTGTGTCTCTCTCATATTGTTACGTTCGAGTGATAATAAACAAAGCGTTATTTAATGTAGTTAGTATTTTCACTTCTAATATACGAACTCTTTATCGTTGTGTGCGAACGGAATTATGTGCCACAGTGAAATGTTGCACTTAAATGTAGCAGTTTTGACGTATGCCCGAACATCAAATAACGAACACCTGTGCTTGAGTCATGTATTGAATAAAAATATGAAATACATATCAAGAAAATAAATTAATTGTTTGTAGTTAGAATAATGCCTAAATGGTATCATTGCTTTAAGTGACTAGACACTTCTCTCCTCGTACTAACTACTTAGGAGAATTTAACAGAGTTACTGAAATTAGATAAATTTTAATACTTTTTAAATAGTTTATAATTTTTCTAAGCCCTGAAAAAATATTCAAGATGATAGGTATAAGAAAATTCCATTCTTCCATTTAAATATACTCTTACCTAGTTGTCCCATGTGGGTGTAAATTTTTAATATAGTTCGATGAGGCGCGCACGAGTTAAACGCTAAAAGTTAAAATAAAAACGCTGCGGCAGCATTACTGAACATACAACGGGATAAGAAGATACTGACAAGTCATTGCATCGTCGACAAGACTAAAAAGTCACGATTCTTTTGGAACGCTGTGCTGCCGGATAAAAAAGTCGAAATAAGCTCCTGACCTTATAGTACTGAATTGTAAATCGATTACCCGCTAGGCTAACCACACAATATATGTATATAAATATAAAAATGTTGTTGTTCTTGAAACTATATATTCTATACGGTTACTACAATTATTTTAGTAGATAATCACTGATGTGTGTAGGGAGAATTGAATAAATGTTATTACCTTCAGGTATAATTACAATAAAAGCTAAAGCTTTTATTGTAATTAATACCAGAGAGACTAATTTTGCATTCATAACTAACACAATATTATAACTATTCGATACTGATCTAGTAATCCGTAAGTAATGGAATAAAATCTAAAATTTGCAAATGGACTCAACAAGGGTTAGAAGAGTGAGACGCGAAAGAAAACGGAGAAAACCAATCAATCAGATTTCAATTATACTTTTAAAATACATTTCATAGTCATGGGCCTTAAGGCTAAAGGCTTATTAACGTCCGAGAATGAGTACTCGGCTCAAGATCTGGTTAGCAACGCAGATATAACTACGGGACTTGGTTCGTTTTATAATGGTAAATAATAACAATAACAGAATCTATTCATTATATTAATAAGAATCAATTATCTTTATCTTATCTTTCTTAAGGAAGAAAAAAAGAAAATAACTCAAGGCTCCAACATCTCTACATATACACAAAATGTGCAAGTGATGACATTTATACAGTTTGAGTGAGTTGTTGGGTTGGTTTTTATCCAGTGGCGGATTTACATATTTGCCGCCAGTAGGCTATTACATTTTTGCCGCCCGTACTAACCTCTACAATTCAATACCATTTCTTTTCGCGTGGATACCTGCTGCCGTCACCTCACTCTGGTTTGCGGCTGGGCGGTGTGTCGTGGCGGTGGGCTGGAGTGCCACTCTGTGCCTGAGTAGGGATAGGAGGGATCCGGCAACAGCTGTTATTAAGACATCCGGACCCACAACTCAATACCTTAGTTCATAGTTGTCTAAACCGAAAGGAGATTCTCAGTGAAACAAAACCCCGCATTTCATGTTAACTCTTTGAAAATGAGTGTTAAGAAAGGATCTAGATGACATAAAACCTTATCATCAATAGCCTTGAATAGTCCACTATTGGACATAGGCCTCTCCTTAGAAAATAAGTTTTATCACGCTGGCCAGACGGGTTGGTATAGGGTTTGTTTCAAGTTTTTCTTCTCTTTGCAATGCTGTTGGCATGATTTGATCACGTGAAAGGTATTCGGGTTACTCTCGTAAAGGTAACTCTATAAATATACACTCATACACTCTGTACACTCACGAAGCTCGAATCAATCAATATTCATTCGAGGGTCATGAGTGTATTAATGTATGAGAATAGTTTTGTAGAAACTAGAAGCTTAAGAATATCTTTTGCTGGTGATGATGATATACGTAAGTAGTAATATGCTGAAGTCAGTAAGTCAGTAATAGATATATTATGGATCACAGGCTTTCATCGACCAGTGTGAGAAGTAATAATAGTGCCAACACTAAGAATTTACTAATGTTAGTGTTGTAATGTTTCTAAAATCGTCTTTTATTTCTTTCAGGAAAAGCCTGATGGGTTTGCATTACTTGGTACTGCAGATGCCTGTCATTCAAGCTATTCTTTACGTAATTATTCTTGCAATATGGGCGGAAGATTTTGTAAGTAGGATCTTTATTTATTTATTTTATTTATATATTTAATGCTTTATGCACAAGAAAAATGTACAAAGGTGGACTTAATGCCATAGGCATTCTCTGCCAGTCTACCTTAGGGTGGTGTAGAAATGAGTGATTAGGTGCACTAAAATTTAGTAAATATACAAGACATGACCAAGAAATACATTTACACGAAAAACGAAAAACAATGGGGACAGAAAGAGTTAGTATATAAATCTATAATAAAGAATAATATAGAATAAAAAATCTGATTCAATAACATTACTTACAAACATACATATACACAATTCCACATACATACATTCAATATATACATAAATAATATACATAATTCATATAGCATTAGTATTAATCTAATGATGTTGTAGATACTTTGTGTGTGAGGAACAATTTTACTTTCGCCTTGAACGAAGGTAGTAGGTGACTTGAGAATACTCGTAGTATGCTATAGCTGACGGCGCTGAGGAATAGTAAGCCAATTTAACTGAAGGCGGAAGGAGGAAACATGGTCAAAATTACGGAGATTAAAAAAATAATCAAATGCAGTTATTCAGAAATCTGTCGTATTTGTTAAGGAGTTCTGCATTCAGGTCGTAGTAGCACACATTACCATAGTCGATAATGGGGATAATTAAGGTCTTTACCAACACCGCTTTTGTCTTCGAGGGAAAAAGTTCTTGATTCTGTATAGGGCCCGCAGGGTTCCTGTTATTTTTTGGCTGACGCTAGCAACCTGGGTTTGCCAACTGAGGTTGCTATCAACGAAGAGGCCTAGATCCATAACAGAAGAACTTAGCCATATATAAAGAGCACAATATTTTAAGTTTCTAAACGATATGAAATTAAAATAACTTTATTTAATTATTGTCAGAAAAACCTCTATGGGGTCTGGTAGAAATATCTAACAGTTAAATACCAAAGAACAGAGTGTGTGACAGTCGATAATTGTATGCAATTACATGTGTGCTCAGGTTGTTATAGCAATCGGTTGGCTGCCTCGTTAGTGATTTCTTCTTCTCTTTAGTGTCGGTCACACGTAAAGCTAAAGTTGGTAAATGAAGAAACGGTTTGCCTCAGTATGTATCAGGCCAATGTCTAATACAATTACATATTATTTTAAGCCATAAAGGAATTAACCGTTTTACAGTGAATTCAGCTCCAAGACCGCACCCACTCAGGGGGGTGTCTAAGGAGCTGAATCTGCGTTAACTCAGCTCACTGGCTATATATGAGTTTTTCATTTGGTAAAATAATTATGTTTAACTATGTACTACAATATATGTATGTAAAACTTTTAATTTTCCAAAGCTCTTTTTATTTCCAGAATCTATACAGCCGCAACTTTCTGTATTTTCAACCGTTCGTCGCGGCATCCATTCTTCCAGGGATTTGGGGTATTGTTATGTGTGTTCGGACTTCTACATTACTGGGCCTTAACCCAAAAGCAAGGTTCTTAAGCATACAACTTGCATTGATCATTGTGAAGCTGCAGGTCGGAATATCCAAGTCCCTTGCAGATTTAATCCATGGGCCTTGCTTAGTGAATTTACATCCGGTCGTGTTTGTTAGTCGTAAGTATTTAATTTTATACAGACATTCTTTAAGGTTTTGTTTTTCAAAAGACAACTCCCGCATTAGGAACATATTATTATATTCCTGTGTCGCAGGGGACTTTACAAACATACATGAAACGGACACAAAGAACACCCAGACTCAGAAAAACAATTTGTGGATCATAAAAAGTGGTATCCCATGTGGGGATCGAACCTACAGCACTCAACGCAGTAGGAAGCGGCGTGGCGACCGCTTAAACCACTACGCCATCCGTACAGTTGAATGACACCACACCAGTTTCGCGATAACTTTTTTTTTTTTACAAGACATCTCAAGCGTTAGGAATATATATCCTGTGTCGTGAGGGACTTTACACACATGAAACGGACCCAAAGAACACCCAGACTCACAACAACAATTTGTTGATTACACAAAGTGGTGTCCCATGTTCATTGTGGATCGAACCCACAATACTCGCGAAGTAGAAGCGGCGTGGCGACTGCTTAAACCACTACGCCATCCGTGCAGTCTATTTCACAATATTTATTTACCATGGGATTAAGCTTCTTTCATTCAATTCACTTCAACCCATTCTGCATAGTAGAAAAGTTTGCCTACTAATGTTCAACTACTTAAGTTTGTTGAGGCACATATTAATAATTACATGTACCATGGAACGCGACAATTTAGAAAATAAGATGACTATATGTAGATTATTACGATATGGGAATCAATGTGACAAGGAATCTAAAAAGACTAATTTTTTATTTCCAGTTGTACAAAATTGCATCATGGTGGTGGAGATGTGTTTAGTATCAATATGGGCATGGCGTTTGTATAGTGTGCCACCAGAGAAAGTCTTGAAAAATGTTGCAACTGGAAAGTCAATATCTACAGTTGATGACAATTTACGGGCCATTGAAGTGGAGACCGTCAAAGAGGGAATTGACAACAAAACCTTTAATAATAATGTCAACATCGATGATTGAATTTTGTGTATAGTTTTAACGTAAACCTTCTTAGTTAACTACGTAAGTTCTACGTTAAGTAATGTGTCCTCTCTAGCTATAATTTTGACTTATGTTAATCAATGTTTAGTACTCCGAATACGTTAAGAATTTGAATGTGAAAACTATAAGTAATAAATATGAACATTACTTTGGTGTTGTGAACTATGTTGTGAATAGTTATATTATAAATGGTTGCATTGCACATCGTGTAAAAAATGTACCTGAAGCGGTATTTAAATATTTTATTGTGATATATATATATAATTAATTAAATTTGTCAAAATAAACATGTACAATTATTGCAGTTTTTCTTAATAATTATAAATAGATAAACCAAAACATCGATTAATTATTATTTCATTCCTCGTCTGCTGACTCGTTGTTCTTGTCTTCATTTTCCTCAGATGGAGTGCCCGCTCTAGAATTTTCTGAACCGTAAATATTATGTAATTCTTCTAATTTGTAGTTAATCTTGATGCCTTTGGATGTAGTTTTGTTTACTTTATTCACAAGTGACTTCGTCTGTTCTTCTAATCTTTTCAACCGAAGATCACGCGCTGCAAAACGAGCTTCATGGTCTATCTCATTTGACGTCGATGGGCCTGCTTCTTCTCTTTCCAAAATAGGGCTATCTTCTTTTGATTGTTCTTCTTCTGCAGTGTAACATTTTTGCTTTTTGTGCAGACTGTCTAGCTTTTCAATTATTCTGTCTCCTGAATTTAGAGTACTAGACATATCTTTTACTACAACAGAACAGTCTTTCTCCAATTGTTTCAATCTTTTATCTTTTTTTGCAAGTCTCTCGTTTTGTTTTCTTACATTTTCTAATATAGCCTTGAAGTCTGGAGTTGATAGTTCTTCGCAAGTTTGTTGAGAGTTGCCAGAGTTTCGTTGGTTTTCCGTGATTTCTATATTGACATGTTCTGAAATACATTCCTTATGTTCCAAGACATTTGATTTAGTATTTTCTAAATGTGTGTCTAATTCAGATACTATACCAGTAGACACATTTTCGATTTCAATATTGTTCGAATCACTAGGATGAGTAAAGAGATTATCCAGCATGCTAGTTAATTGCTCTTCAGTTTTAACTGTTGTATCAGTTTCTTTTCTTAGAGCAGCAGTACTACATTCCGGTTGATCTGACCTTTCCTGTTCTTGTAAGACTATTTCATCGGTCCATTTAATATTTTTTGAAATTGTTAAAGAAATGGATGATGGAATTAGTTTGTTTTCTTCGACAGTATCATAAAAAGTATGTGTGTGCCCACTGAATGCATTTTCCAAAATCTCTTCTTCAGGACCAGAGTCGTCATGAGTTATATCAGCCACTTCATCTTCAGTCTCTTCGCATATTTTTTCATGCTTTGAAAATATTTCACTCTTACTAGGCTCCGATAATGAGGCATGAGTTTCCTCACTTTCTTGGGTGTCCAAAGGCAAATCGGCTACATCCAGCATATCACTGGTAGGATCTTCCCGTTCCGCAGCTAAGTTGATATCGGTGCTAGAGTCTATAATAGTTTCAAAAGATTTCCTAACTTTTTTCTTGCATCTCATGAGCGGTTCAGCGACATATTCACTTTCATCGTTTGATTCGGATGATTCATCTGATGGTCGTTCGTCACTGTATCCACTTTCCCCGGAATTATTAAAAGGTGGAGATCCTAATTTAGTTTTCCTACTTGAGAACTCGGCTCTAAGGTTTCTCCAGTCTTTTTCTGATTGTGTATTCTTCTCTCGTGCTTGTTCCCATTTTTCTCGGCAGTATTCCAGCTCCTCTTTAAGTTCGTTCAATAGTTTTCTTTTCTGTTGTAATTCGTATTTAAGTATTTTTTCATGTGTATGTAACTGATGATGATGCCTTCGTAATCGTCCCACAACATGCCATGTTTTGCTTAACTCACTAGTGACAAGACAGAGTCTGCGCTCTTGTTCTTCTAAACGCGTTTCCAGGTGAGTATTGAGTTGTTTCATACGATTGACCTCTTTAATGAGACCCAATTTTTCTATTATAAGATCCTGCAATAAAGAAAAGAGTGACGTGAGATTAAGAAATAAAACAAGTACCAATAGTAATATATTTAATTAGTATTTTGTTTTTGCGAAAACCACGAGAGAGATTGGCTCAGTACCAAAAGTCAAGAATCTCATACATTTTTTGTTACTTGTAAATATTGTTCAAGAAACCGTTTCTTTTTATATTGTCTCTGTTAATCCTGACGCATAATTTTGATGCAGAAATAAGAACAATAAATGTAATGAGTTCATCGCTTACCTTAAGTCTGATGTATGTCTGACTAACGCTTGGCACTAGAACGGGTCCTGACGCTGTATTAACGGATTTATAACACGTTGTAACCTTTTCCGAGGAGTCCACATCAGATCTATTTTGATGACTCAAAAGTTCTATGAGTACTTTCCAAACTTTTGGTAGTTTCTCTACAATATCTTCGACAGATGTAGTGGCTTTTAGAGAATCTAAAATAATTACAAAAAAAGAAATATGTACAGTGTACTAGCAACATATAACTAGTGTATATGTTGCTAATATTAATTAATCAATATTGAAATTAAAAGCAACCTAATAAATTATTTCCTTCCTGATGCCTGATGATTACGCAGTTACATATACTATATACATATTACATAATTTCTATATAGAGGGTAAGTAGTAAGGCATCCGAGAAGTACCTGATGGACACAAATTAATAAAGCCGTATATCTTGAATAAAGTCAATATTTACAACAATTTTTGTCCAGTGGCTTCGTTATCGTATAGTTTTACAAACCCTCGTAAAACATTGTGATGTTAACATTTAATTTTTAACGTATCCTTTACACTCTTCTTTACCACGGGCTACACGAGGACCGTTTGTGTAATAAGGCATGAAATAAACTAACTGACTTTAGTTTAGATTTTATTAATTATTTAGAATTACGATAAAAATTAAAATTTACCTGACTCTTGATTTGTCGCAATTTCTGTGTCTGATGATTTATGATCCGTTGTGGAAGGCTCTTCTGTACTACAATCCTCGCGTTCATCCACTTGACTCACTAATTCTAATAGTAGTTTGGGTAGAGCCGACGACATTTCTGACCCGTTTTCTCTTTCGGCCATTTGTGTAAGGATACCATGATTTTCTTCTAGCCTATGTGCTAACATGTCCAAATCTTGCTTTGTTTTGTTACCAAGTAATACTTGAGAAAAAAGCTGAAATAAAATCATTTTACGAATTTAAAATCGTGTCACCTATTTAAAATGTAATTATATCTGTATTAACTATACATACTTTATTTACAACGGCCATTTCTGCTCTCAGTCCATTTGTTTCTTCTTGGCATGACGATATTTGTGAATTTTTTGTTTCTATGGTTTCAATTAATGAATCTATTCTTGATTCCAATTCTTCAACTTTTTCCACGAGATCTTTACATCTAGTAAATATGTATATATAAATGATATTGAGTACGTGTTAACTTAAACAAATTTAATCAACAATTTTCTACTTTGAAATATATTTTATGTGATTCTAATTAGACAACTGTTTATTACTATCAGTGCCTGTTATACATGTATTGCTAATTAGACGACATTTTAATAGATTCAATTCTAACAAGTTAAAAAAATCTCACTAGATCGCACCTTCAGGTGAATTTCACAATTTATATTAAATTAAATAGTTTAAAATTAACGTGACTTTTCATCTACTCGTATATTCAGTCAGACAGTTTAAAAGAGATTTTACGAAATTTTGTTATGTGCCCTTCCATCATTTTCAGCTCACGTAATAATTCTATGTCTCCTTAGTAGGAAAAGTTAAAAGAAATAATAGAATAGTTTAACCTAGGTGAAACATAATAAAAAAATAATTAAAGACAATACTTAAGATAGGAACGTCGTCTTTTTTAACGAGATTTTAAACAGTTTATTAACTAAAGTGTAATGCACCCTATCATTCATTTCCAAACCACCCTACGTTAGACTGGTAGAGAATGGCATTATTTAAGCCAGTTAACATTTTGTGCTTAAAGATTTATAATCATCATTATCATCCACAGCCTTTAATAGTCCACTGCTGGACATGGGCAAGATTTAAAATAAATAAAATAAAATAATAACATCCTAAACTTACTTTTTAACTTCCACCTGATGTAATACTTTGTGTTCATCCAGTTCCCGAACCAGCCCTTGTCTTGTTACTTCCGCTAGTCGCGCCCTCTCTTCATACAGGCCTCGTAATGTTCTAATGTTCTGCAATTGTCGCTCATATTCTTGACGTAGATCAGCTGATAGAAGATTTGTTTCTCTATCGGCCACGGTTCGTTCTATCTCATTTAGCTTATTCTTCAGCTGTAACAACGATATTTTCTTTTAACAAATGAAGATTATAGATAAAGATTGGGTATTTAATTAAAAATCCTTTAAACTTGTGCCAGAACCATTTTTTACACACATCTAGCCTTTGAAGCGACCAAAATCACATAATATCCATACGCTCTGTTCTGAAACCTGCTTGCCTAGAAAAGTGGTTAACAAATCACAAAATTACTGATTCACCAGCTTCCGCAGGTATTACTATTTTGGAAAATTTCAGAAAACCCTATAAAAATGTTCTTTCTTTCAAATAAAACAATAGCTTATTCTCGAAAGAAGTCATAAGATAAGAATGGCTTTAATTTAAATTAAAAATATAAATAGAACTTTGAACATAAGTTTAAAAAATATATCTTTAAGATAATGTACATTTAAGAGTAATAAATAGCGACTATGTTTATCATGATCATCTGGAAAGTTTTAAGTACATTTTTGGCATTTAGTCAATAAGTACAGGTGAAGCCAAGTTTAGCACTTGTGTGCTGTACCTACTTACGTCGGCGGTCCCTGACCGCAGAAACCTTTATTGACTGGTCGTTGGCATCTTCATGTTTTTTGTTTAATTTTGAATAAAATATATATAGTTACAGAACTTGATTGCACAATTGAATGAAATTGTTTATTGCCGAGTAATCCTTTTTACCTATCATATTACCGCCTCGTCAAGTAGTAGTTTGATACTCGATATTTTTAATTTTGTAATTTCAGTTAAGGTGTTTCAGTGTTTAAAATATTTTTTTCATGTAATAGAAACTAATTATGTTGGTACGTAAGGTAATAAGAAATCCTAAGCCTAGTGTTTTTTTTTTAAATCCACGAATAAAGTGAATAAGTTGCTTACCTCATTTAATTGTTCTTCTCGAAGATTAATCATGGTTTTACTAACCGAAACGACTTCCTTTAATGCTTGAATCTGTTTCATAGATTCAGTGTTTTGATAATTTAGATCTGCTATATCGGAATAAGCACTTTGTAAGGCACTGTTTGTTTCAGCTAGATCTTTTCTCAGCTGAGTATTATTTACTTTTATTAAAATAAACTCTTCCCTCATTTTTAATAAGGTCTCTGTGAGCGCAGACTCCCCTTTATCAGTCTGCAGATTTTTTGGTATTTCAATACTGTTTGAAGTTAACAATTCGCGGAGTATTTTGTTGCTTTCACATAACTCAATTACGGCAGCTTTTTCTCTTTGCAACGATCTTTCCAATTCTTCCTTTTCAGCTCGATGACGAGCAAGAATTTCTCTTCTTTGTTCACGTTTCAAGCTAAGTTGTTTTTTAAACTCATTCATTTCTTCTTCTTTGGCTCGAGCTCTAGCTTCATTTTCATTTACTTTCTCAGTTCCTTCCCATTTTTCAACATCACTGGGAACATTTGTATCCATTGTTACGCTTCCAATATTGACGGATTCTGCGTTATCCTCTCTTGTTGAAGCACTACTGAGTACATTTCCCATTTTGGAATACTTTTATAAACAACTGAACTTTCATTCACGCCAATACAGATAAAAGATGTGTGGCTTAGTATAGACTACGACCGCTACGATTTTAATCAAACAAAGGACTGTTGGCTTATTGGACTCACACGTATATGTGTTCGACGAAGCAATCGCTTCCCGAAATAGATCCCTCGTCAGCTCCGCGTTTGCCGCACACAAGTACGGTTCGAGCTTTTCTCGTGTTAGTATACGTAGTGTTTTTTCGGTAAATCTCTATTAATATTGTATTTTTATCATCTTTATGCGTTACTGCCTACGTTCGCTATGATTATAACACGCTTTCGGGTAAATTGACCTTGGCCGCTCATGTTATTTGAAAATTTAAGTTGAAATTGCACATACGCTTAGGCTATAAAAGGCAAGGATATAGAAGTACAAACTATTAAGAAGTTTAACGATATAACACATGTAAATTATTCCTCTTTATTAACTAATCGTATATATAAAGTAAATTATTACTTTAATATGCAATAGGAATTGCAAGGGATATCAATTCAATAAATACCTATAAGGTAGAATATGGCTAGGAATGTAAGCTAATAGGAACCTACCATATCTACTTCTCCATTCCTGATTTCAATATCAATGATACAGAATAACTATTTATTTCAACCATTAGTATTATTGGTTAACGGATCTGGGGCCAATTACAGCAAAAACATATTGCGCCATCATCTAGCGAAGGCAAGCTAAATAAAGAAGTAATTTCTGAGAGTTATCGCATAGATTTTTACCAGAACTGCCCAAAGGAAGTATTGGCGGTTGATCTTTATTAACGTTGGTCGCTGTTATTTTAAAGAAATATAATTACTCGTTTCTGTAGTGTTTACTCGAAGTAATTATGTAATTCATCATAAAGCGGATCAGTAGCATTGTATACACGCGTTGTGAGTTCAATTCTAAGTGAGGACAAAAAATTATATGATGAGTACGAGTATGGGTTCTTTTTTTTTAATGGTAAATTGAGTCACAAATGAGTTACCGCTGTTTGAGTTTTTAAGGAAGAAGTTTGTATAGGACATCAGTCACCGCTGAACTGATTTTAATGAAATTTGGCATGGAGAGACTTTGATTCTTTAGGAAAGACGTAGGCTACCAACAGGCAGATATTCTTACCGCGAGAAAAAGTTTTCGCCTATGTATCTGAAATAATTATTTAAACCTTGTGTAACAGTGTTTTAGCATATAATGTACTCGTATAGCTTAGTACACATTTCACGAAGTTGGAAGCATACATTAATCTTTTAAGTTGAGATTACTTGACTTACGAGTGTCGATATGTTTTTTTTAGAAATCTGAACTCTCAAAATACGTCAAATTACCTTAGAAGATCTTATATAGTAGCCAGACCCTGGGGACCTCATACATAAGGACAGCAATGCGATAATAACGTTGACAAATACGATGTAGAGTTTGGACACGTATTAAAAAAAATACATTCATTTCTTGACCATGTACTCTGGTTTTAGCTTAAGAATAATGTTAGGTTTATTTTGTAGGTAACGATTTGATCGATGACACTGTTTGCTTTGAAAGCCCTCGAGTGTATTTTTTTTTAAACCAAGCAACGGCTTACTTAGTTCCTGCCTGACTGTTAACCTGTGAACGACATTTTATGCTTTCGAAAATATTTGTTTCTTCTTCCTACCACAGTTGCACGTCAAAACCTTCGGTTATGTAGGTCTGCGCTGTACCTGTTTCTATTAACATAGAGATGCAATGAAAACTTTTCTTAAAAACTTCTTTCATAGTTCTCTTTTGATCTTGATTTTCGTAAGTCATTCATGATCAGCGGTTCATCGTGCACTAGTATGTTTGCATTCAGGAACAGCACCAACGATAAGTAGATCATAGAATCAAAAAATATTTTTAAATTATAAGCTATGTCTTAAAAATATCAGCACAATTGTATACACAGCCGACTGACGTCATGATCACAGAGCAATATGGCGTCCACTGCGTAAAGCGAAATTTCAAAATGAAAAAGTTTGACTAAAAGTACCATACTTGAAGGAGTTTTGATGGAACGGTCAGTGCAGGGTGCATGGAGAGTTCCATCAGAACTCTCTCATCTATTAAGTTCATCTGGCTTGGCATTTGGAGTACCTTATGGTTAAGAATACGGGCGTTTGTGACTCCTGAGTTGCAGACGTTTATGGGCGGCGATAGTCACTTGCCATCAGGTGACCCGTCTGCTCGTCTGCCCCCTCTAACATAAAAAAAAGTATTAAAACATATCCTTAACTTAAACGAGGAATTTAAGGAGTGTGTTAAAAAAGTTCTGAGTACATGAGTAGGCCACTTTACATTTAAAACCAACTTCACTTAATGTTCTATGTCCCCGTGTTGGGCAGGGGCGTCAACAGTAATCCTCCATTGCGTTCGGTCTTGAGCTTCGCACTTGACTTCACTCCACGTCCTGCCGATTCTCTTCACCTCATCTGCAACAGTGCGTCGCCAAATTTGCTTTGGCCACAGGAAGTACAACCTAATAATTTAAAAGAAACTAAAGTGAGTGAAAAATGTCGAACATGCAGAGTGGTGATGACGATAAATTATTAATTGTAGATTTCATTGTATTAAAAAATGTTTCTAGCATAGTATATTATGCCTAATACTGATATTCACTTCTCTGACGTTAGTAGCAGTTTGGGTTTGGTTTATGTAAATAATCGCACCACAAAAATGGTATACCTACGGGATCAGAGAACAGAGAAGTTACTTCGCTCTTTATTTGAAGACGATTCTCTATTAGCTGTTATCATTGTAATTATTACTATAATATTTCTAATTTTGTAACTAACTATAAGTATGTCTAGCACCAGGGCCACCGCTAGGTACAATGTCGATATCCAGACGGGGAGTGGCGCTGGACAGCAGCAAAGTTCGCTGCGGGATGCGGGGATGAAAGTCCAGTGATGGATCCACATCTCCGCATCCTCCAGGTGAACGTAGGCCACGGTGCCGATGCTCAGGATCTTCTGCTCCAGAGCATGGCACAGTGGTCCATCAACATCGCCGCTGTCGCCGAGCCATATGTCCATCGGTTTCTCGGGCCTGCCTGGGAGACCGACTTGGACGGCACGGCGGCCCTGGTGCACGGTACCGCAGCCGGCACTCCACCTCTTGCAGTAGTTACAAGGGGACGGGGCTGTGTAGCGGCGATAGTTGGGGATATAGCGGTCGTGGCCGCTTATTTCACGCCGAACCGAAACCTAACTGAGTACGAGCAATGGCTCGCTCAGCTGGCCGTCGTCGTAGATGCCTGTCGCCCCCACCCGGTTTTAGTGCTGGGGGACTTCAACGCCTGGTCGCAGGCTTGGGGTTCCCTGCGCACGAACCCGAGGGGCAGGGCATTGGAGAACTGGGCTGAAAGATTCGGCCTAGTTCTCCTAAACCGGGGGGCCGTGGCCACGTTCGTAACGGCGAGGGGTAGTTCGATCGTGGACATCTCGTTCGCATGCCCCTCGCTAGCGCTACGTGTCCAGGCCTGTCGACGTCGATGCTGAGGCACAGTGGTTCCGGGAGGCCATGACCCGCGTCTGCGATGCGGCGATGCCTAGGGCTCAGCCCAATACGGCGAGGCGCCAGGTCTACTGGTGGTCGCCGGAGATCGCACGGCTGCGTCAAGCCTGCGTGACCGCGCGCCGCCAGTGGTCCAGGTTCCGCAAGAGGCGTCGCCGCCCCGAAGAAGCGGCAGCGAGAGAGGCGGAGCTGTTAGCGGGTTACAGGGTTGCCAAGAGGACCCTTCAGGCAGCGATAAAGCGGGCCAAGAGCGAGGCCCGCCGCGAGATGCTGGAGATGCTGGAGCGGGATCCGTGGGGACGTCCCTACCGTATGGTTAGGGGCAAGATGTGCCCATGGGCCTTGCCGCTCACCCGGTGTCTTCAGCCAGAGCTGCTTGAGAGGGTCGTTGGCTCCCTGTTCCCAACGCGAGTGGTGGAGCACACTCCGCCACAGATGGCTCCGCCTCCGGCGGTTGAGGCGCCTAACGTGGATGACGACGATGTGCCTGAGGTCACTGGGGTGGAACTAAGGGTGGCGGTGTTACGGCTTAAAGCTAAAAACACCGCTCCGGGACCCGATGGCATTCCTGACCGAGCGTGGGTCCTGGCCTTTGTCGACGAGGCTCTCGAGCCCCGACTGCGAGGGTTCTTCAGCGCATGCCTCGAGCGGGGCCAGTTTCCGAAATTGTGGAAGACGGGGAAACTGGTCCTCATCCGAAAGGAGGGGCGCCCGGCGGACTCACCGTCCGCCTACCGGCCCATAGTGTTGATTGACGAGGTGTGCAAACTCTTTGAAAGAGTGATTGCAAGGCGCCTCGTCAAGCATCTCGTGATGGTGGGGCCGGATCTGGCGGACAACCAGTACGGTTTCCGTCAGGGGCGCTCCACCGTGGATGCGATCATGCGCGTGAAGGCTCTGGCGGAGGAAGCAGTTTCCCGGGGCGAAGTGGTGTTGGCGGTGTCCTTGGACATCGCCAAAGCGTTCAACACTCTGCCCTGGAGCTGCATCAGGGAGGCGCTCGTGTATCACGAAGTGCCTCTCTACCTCCGCCGCATAGTCGGGGCATATTTGTCAGAGAGAGCCGTCGTCTACCCCAGTAGGACCGGTCTCGGTAGGCGTGAAATGTCGTGCGGTGTTCCGCAGGGGTCGGTGTTAGGGCCACTCTTGTGGAACATCGGCTACGACTGGGTGCTTCGTGGTGCCTTCTTGGATGGTATCGCCGTCGTGTGCTACGCGGACGACACACTCGTGACGGCGCGCGGCAAGACGCACCACCAGGCAACCCTGAGGGCCACGGCCGGGGTTGCCCAAGTCGTTGAGCGAATCCGGCGGTTGGGTCTCGAGGTGGCTCTGCACAAGTCCGAGGCCCTGCTCTTCCACGAGCTTCGGAGGAAGCCGCCTGAGGGATCTAGCCTCACGATAGGAGGCACTCGCATCGGCATCGAACCCTCGATCATGTATCTGGGGCTCGTACTCGATGATTTCCGAGGTCCCCAAGTTAGTTGGGGCAGCGCGTGCGTTGGCGCGGCTGCTGCCCAACATGAAGGGACCCGATCACTCCTGCAGGAGACTCTACTCGGGGGTTGTGCGGTCCATGGCCCTTTACGGGTGCCCAGTATAGGCGGGGGCCCTGAAGGCCAGCAACGTCGCGATACTGCGACGACCGCAGCGAGTGCTGGCCATCAGGATCATAAGGGGGTACCGCAGGATCTCCTTTGAGGCGGCGAGTCTCCTGGCCGGAACTCCACCGTGGGACCTGGAGGCGAGAGCCCTTGCGGCTCTGTATAAGTGGCGCGGGAGTTGGGTCGGTGTCCCGAGACTCGAGAAATCGATGACCGGAAATCCCAACTCCACCAGGTCATCATAGGGGAGTGGAAGGAACGACTCGGGCAACCGAGCGCCGGGCACGCCGTCATCGCGGCGGTAAGACCCGTTACGGAGGATTGGCTCGAGAGGCGTCACGGGACCCTCTCATACCGACTGACGCAGGTGATCACTGGGAAAGGATGTTTCGGGGATCACCTGTGTCTGATCCGCAAGGAGCCAACGCCTGAGTGCCACCACTGCGATGGCCAGACCGTGGCACACGCTGGCAGAGTGCCCGGCGTGGGTTGAGCAGAGGCGAGACCTCGTGGCGGCCATCGGAGTGGGAGTTCGATAGCCTGATAGCGGCTATCGTGCGGAGCGAGTGTGCGTGGAACTCTGCCGTCTCCTTCTGCGAGCAAGTTATGCTCGCGAAGGAGACGGCGGAGCGGGACCGGGAGAGGTTTAGGACTCTCCCGGCCCGCCAGGCCCGGGAACGGGCCAGGCACCGCAGGCGACTCAGGCGCCGGAGGTCGCAGAATGACCTCCGTCCTCCATAAGCGCAGGCCTGAGGGTGACGGGTGAGGCCATCTGTCACCCTAGTAGAAGCAGGCCGGGGTGGCGGCGAGCGCGTTGCGAAGCGCGCTCGCTTCCAGGGAGCACAGGGAACATGGGCTTTCCACACGCGGGGGGGGGTTGTCTACTCGTCTGTAGATGACCCGAGGTATGTCGGGGCACCAGGGACTTCCTTTCTAGGGTATACCTGGTTCCCCGGCTATTAGTACCCGAGACGGCGTGTGGTTTTAGTCGGTTCACGTCCGACATGCCACCGACAGGTGGTATCCGAGGGGATTTCTGCACGGAAAAAAAAAAAAAAAAAAGGTACAATGTCAATGAAGTCGCCCTTTTTGCCGTGTGGAAATCGCCCTTCGGATGCCAAGTTTTTTTTTCCTTATTTCAATGAGTTTAGAAATCATATTACTTAATTTCGATACAATTATACCGCGGTACGTTGTGGTATGCGGCGGAACGCCGTAGCATATCGTGCCATGCGGTTTCATTCTACGGATTATCATGCCACCGCATCCCCCCAGCCGCATAGTTCAAAGGATTATGACCCTCTCCCTTACTCAAGGATTTGGATTTGGGTCCTGGTAATCTCACTCACTCGATGAAAAGCGTTAGCTCTTTGCGGATGAAACACATGTAATCTCCAAAGCATTCTTTGCATCAGTGTCTTATACTCTATTTTAACAACCCATCTTCGCCAATTTATTTAAACTCCTACTTACAACTTTTATTATGTAATAATCGGTCCTTCGGTCCTCTAATAACCTTCTTCTTCGTTGTGCAGTCCATTCTTCTGTGGAATGAGCTTCCCCTCGAGGTCAGGATGGCCACCAACACTTTAACATTAAAAACTAAACTGAAGCAGTATTTTGTAAAACAACGGGCAAAATTAACTGACGTATGATTGTCATCTACTATTATTAATGGTATTTATTTATTTATCTAAGTTTATATTTATTTAAGTATATGTGTGTACGAATGTATAATGCGTATGACTTCTATTGTCTGATGGGTTTATGTACGCGTATTTGATATTATAAGTAATTATAACTACAAACAAACTAACCAAAATGCACCTACTTCCAGTTCTCTCTGCATCACCCAAAAGTTGAATGGTACAAAATGCCTTAGGCATTAAGTCTGCCAAATCACCAAAAGTGCATGATGTATAAATAAATAATACCAATAATCAAAAGTATTTAAAGTTGCATCAACCCGTCAAAGATATGTGATAAAGCTAGAATGTTATTACATTTTTCTAAATAAATCTAGAATATAAAGTGAAAAAAAAAACAGTGGACAGAGTTTAGAAAAATAACGTATTACACCCAACTAATTCTTCTAAATTCACTTCACTCTAATTCAAAGTGCTAAAATACAAGAGTTCAAACATGAAATCCTAAAGATGATTAAAAAAGATATCTTGACAAACGTCAGTTGCTTTGGTAATTGGTAATCAGCAGTGTTGACAGCCTAGTGGATTTTCCACTAAAAGTGGTGGATTCGACCCCCCTTTTAGTAGCTAAATTTTGGTTTAAAGTGGCTAGTAGTTAGGAAAGGAAGGATGGGGATTGGATAGACTTCTATCCAATCCCCATCCTTCCTTTCCTTCCATTGCCTAAAATTAATAATCCTTCTCTTCCTGAGCAAGTGCTCAGTGCAAGGATTATTAATTTTAGGCAATGGGATGATGTAGGCTTTGTGACAGAGAGAAGAAAAGGTTTCGGAATCGAGAAAGAAGTCAATAATATCATTAACTTCGAGTATGTAATACAGGATGGTAACTATCATCCTACGGCTTGCAAATGATTGCGTTACAACAGACAGACAGAACGATCTTTTTGAAGTCCCCAGAAGCCACAGGAAAAAATTCAAAGTTGACAATATTAGGCAGACTAGCGATATAATTCAGGGTCCGACTCTATGTTAAATTATCCGGTTGAGTAGCAGAAGAGAAATCAAGATTGATATCATTTAAACTGTTAGGAACTTCCACACACCAGAGGTATTGCTCTTCAAAGATGCCCAAGGGTTCAAGTGAATTCAACATTTGAAGAATTGGAGACGATTGGTATTACTCTCTTAATACTGCCTCCTTTCAATGACGATCTTGAGTTGAGAGACTATTAACAGTTGATTAGAATGATGTCTTTTATCTTAGTCTTTTATCTGCTATGTTAAGAATACACTGTGATTTGAACTTAGCGAGATAACCCTGCAACAAATATGAAATTCTAATAAACGTTGTAAAACGAACGATGATGGTGTTGACAAAAACGATTAGTATCAGTATTAAGTTTTAATCAAGGATACTAGGGATTAATATACTTATGGTTTTCTTTCGTAATTACTAAAAAAATTGTTAAGTGGAAAACTTAGTGCCTATTAGAGTAGGGTCGTTTTTCGTTATTGGTTTTCTGGTGGTTTTAGATGTTGAATCTGGTGGAGAGCTCATTTAACTGTTGGCAACACTGGTAATCAGCCACATAATCGAAATTCAGATTATTGTACGAATAGTCTTTATGGAAAAACCAAATTCAAAGCATATTTACAAGTGTAATTACTTCTCCTGTTGATACTAACGTCATAAAATGACTTACTAAACATTGGCAGCGGGCAATAGAGTCAATAATAAGTAAATATTTCACGTTTTGTGTCAAGATTGATTTTATTTTATTTTGTTTTAACAGTGGCTTATTGATACTAATAGCTAATAAAATCACTTTGTGCGTGACGTCGTTTAATTACTACGACAAATTGGACATACAATAATCTGAAATGTGAAGTAGAATTAACGCTAGTTAGCGATGGATGAGAGTACTAAGAATTCCCCTTGTAAGGTAAAATTTACCAATGTTATTCTGTTTTGATTCTCTTCTGATTGTAGACAGGTCTAAGGAAACTTTTGTTGTTGTGAATATTTAAGTATTGGTTCCTTTGCTTTAATTAGATATGCCATTAATACATACCAATTTTTTTAGATTGTTTTTCTTTATATGTATTTAAAGTGTGGTTTTGAGTAAAACTACAAAGGGGATAAGTGTGTTCAAATTGAAATACATTTTAGCTTATGAATGACAGTAGGTTTTTAATAGTATTTACTGCAATGTGCATAAATTATATTTAACAGTATTGTAAAAATTTTTTCAATGTTTCCATAAAACAGTAAGTTGCTAAAAATTGCCAAGTAATAAAAATATAATGCACATGGCTTCTCTTTCTTTATTTGCATTTGTTGCACTAATTATTGATTTACATTGAAATATTTTCACATGAAATAATTTTGATTCTTAGTTTAAATTCCATTCCATGTTTTGGTGAGTGTTTGTATTTAGAGGAACATAAATGAGTTATGGCTATGAACAGTGACTATTAATAATAATAAGTATAGTATATTAATAGTAAGTAATATTTTATTTATTCATATAAACCTTAAAATATCAGTCATTGCTGAGACCACAATACATTTCTAATTTGATTATAATATTAGGAATATTTGTGCTAAAATTAAATATCTTAGGGCTCTTTGCTCTCAAACTATTTAGTTTCTGCCCAAAAAGCAGTGTATCTCCCTGATGCCACATCCTATGTCAAATGTATTCATTTACACTTTAGAAATTCCATTATTGCTTAGAACAATACATTAAAAAAAATATATAATGGCTCTTTGCTTTAAAACTGTTTTAGATTCTACAAAAAAAATAACCTGAATTATGATAGATTGCGAGTCACTGTCTTACTTAGTTTTCTTTGGTTACCTTTCAATAATCTTTCTGTCATTCTCTAAATACCATCAGTACTTTTTTTACTTTCACACTGTAATCACTCAACCATTCACCATGAAATTTTGCATATTATTATGCATATTGGGTCAGGTGTACAGAAAAGTAAACATTTAGAAAAGTGAAACTGCATGTAGTTTAGTATGGGCATAACTGCTTGTACTAAACTATAAGCAGTTTAATCTGTTCTGTTGGAACTTAAATGTTCTATGTCACATCACACATCACATCAACAGCCTTTAGTGGTCCACTGCTGGACAGACGTCTCTTTTTAGAAAGGAGGTTTTGGCCTACTATACTACACTGGCCAGACGTTTTGATATTTACCTTTTTTTTTCTTTTTGCTTGTGCCACTATTCTCACTACTTTGTGTTATGTGACAAAATTTAAGTGAAATAAAAACACTCTCAGCTCAGGTGATGTAGTAATAGTAATAGCTTAACACAGTTATAGTTCTGGTAAAGTCAAAGTAGCTTTATTTCATAAAAAAATTAAAAATATTTGAATTCAGTAAATGTGTTTCAGTGGTAAAGCCACATAATTGTTTACTTAGTTGCAAATTTATATGTTGTGTCATCAACTGTGACTAAATTTCATAAAAAAAATAATTTATTAAAATATAAGCATTGAAATAAAAGTGGAAAAATTTGCAATGTAAATGGATGTCATCACACTTAAATTTATCATTCAAAAACCTATATAGATGTGTCTTTTTTCTTTACAGTTATGTGTGTTTAATGTTGAAGTGTTTGTGTTGAAGCTATTTACATAATAGTTGTGATTCATAACAATTATAATTATATAATCACAAATAACTTTTAGTACACAGTAATTTCTTTTAAAACTTTGGATTTGATAACTCATCTTATTTGTCATAAATCTCTAGGCATCTGGAATGAAATTTTCCCATTTCATTTTGGATGTAATCAAAATTATCATAGCTAAATAATCATCTGTAAACATATTAGGAACAGTTCATTTTTTCTGCTATTTAAAAAATGTCTAGCCCAACTTACATTCTTCACAGGATGCCAAATCATAATTTATGTTCCTCTAAATTTGTTTTTTTTTGTAAATTTGAATGGTAGATTTACACTCGCTTGTTTTTTTTTTGATGTTGCACAAACTTATTAGGAGTGTGATGGTGTGGAGGAACTGCAGCTCCATGCTGAGGTTGAGCATCTGCGGCAGCACCTAGCAGAGAGAGACTCGCATATAGTAGTTATTGAGGCAGAGTTCATCAAGTGTACTTCTAGAGCTAACAACCTTGAAGAACAACTTAATACCTGGCGAGAGAAATATGAAAGGTAAGTTATTTTTCTAAGTTTATGTTAAGTTTATAACCAGCTTCAGGTTTATTGGTAATTTTAATTAAGAACAAATAAATATAAAGTTTTTTTTATCTTTAACGTAATGTTTTAAACTTCACTAATTTCTTATTTTTCCTGTGTTTGAGCCAGAAAGTGTGTGTATATCTTTACATAGTATAAAGTCACTTTTTTTTTGTTTTATGCTTAGATCTTTTAAACTAAGAAACTGAGTTTAATGCGGTTTTTACCAATACAGAGAGTGATTCAAGAGAAAGGTTTATATTTTTAATACATGCATATCATAGTAGAGAAAATGCGAGAATTTAAAATATTTGTCCTAAAAAACATGTTTTTGTTAGCTTACATTGTAAACGCTGGCTAAGGATAACCCACAGTAACCATTTTTATCTTTTCAATATTACAAATAAATAATAAGTTATTTACGAAGCTATTTTAAACAATACATTGCTATTCCCTATCTGATTAAATACGTTAGATACGTTGTACATTCAATGTAGATTAAAATTGTCATTTACATTATATCATTAAAATTAATATTTTAGAAGATATTAGAGGTTTAAAATGCTGGGTCTAACGTCGAGCCGTACGTCCGTCCCGGGTGGCAGCGGCCGGCAGGGTCAGAGCGGGCCTATAAATATTGCATTTAAAGGTGTCCTGTAGTATAGACGTATTATAATAATAGTATAATTAAATACTCCACTCTGACACCACATTAGTAGGATCTACATTGCACCGGTACGAAGCCGGATCGCTAGAATTATATTATATAACAAGTATAAAATATTAATTTTCAAGTCTTTCATATCCCTCAGGTTTTATTAAAGGTCAACTTTACATTCCTTTGTTCATTGTAATTTGGAAAGTTTGTAAATATTGCAACATCAAGTGACCCGTCTGCTCGTTAGACCCCTATGCTACCAAAAAAACTTTTAAACATTGTTTACAAGTGTTTTTATATATATTATATACATATATGTCTTGTTACACATATACATATTTTAGACTGTTAACTAAAAACTTTAGACGAAGAACACTTTTATTGCATAATTTTTGGTATTATACAAATCACAAGAATGGGATGGTGGTCATTTTGTACCATCTACTTATAATGTATATTGTATAGCATGGCCCTTGTGAGAGAGTATTTTTTTTAAACTCGGATCTAGTAGTTAGTTAAGGTCTAGTGTAATCATGATTCATCATAGATTATAATCAATCGAGAGAGCCTGCAATACTAATGTGTAGCCATCTCATATAAATGTAAAATAAATCGTGTTGTGGTCTCTCTAGATACTCGAGAGGGTCGAAAAATTAACATGATATAATTGTTTTAATCTTGAGTAAGGAGGATATTGTTGAGGATTATTGAAATCATTATCTCATGATCACTCTTCAATTATTTTTTTATCATAAAATCCGATTAAGATATGATTATGAATAATTTTACAGATTATATGATTCGCACAAAAGAGTACAGAAATTAAACCAAGTTCTTGAAGATAAATTACTTCAAATGGTCGACAAGATGAAAGGAGAAAAAAGTCAGTTAACCAAAGATATTGCGACTTTATCTGTGAGACTAGCAGAGTCAAAGCATGAGTACAGTATGCTACAAAAAGAAAATGTAAGTACCTCAATTGTATGATAAAAAATGGTATAAATTGCATGGTACCTTACTTATTAATGTTTTCTTTTTAATTTTCAGGAAAGATATAAAAATGATATGAATTTAGCAATTCAGTTATTGCAATGCAAACCAGACAATTTCGTATCCCATAAATTGGACAATGTAAGTAGACAAACATATCAGAGATTGTGTCAACTATTGTTGTACATATTGTTTAACCAATTAGTTTTTTCACAGCTTCCAGTAGACACTCAAGCGCGTGTGTCGCAGTACGTCATGTCCAAGACATCTAAACCATCAGGTTCTTCAGCGCAGTCCAAAAATGGTAATGAAATTGACACTTTTGACGCTAGTGAATACGAGTTCAACATCTCAGCTTCACTGATGTCGAAAATTTTAGAAGACAGCATTCAAGATACTGTTACTAAACACTGTGATACATGTACCTGTAACAAAACTCAAAATAAGCCATTCTGTTACAATGAGAGCTATTACTCTGTGGCTACACAAACTGTCCTTGGAGGAGAAATGAAAAATTCCTTGTGTTTGACTTGTAATGCTGACATAAAGTCTTTGCATTCCAACCTCAGTGTAAGGAGTAGCTCACCCCATGCTATCAAGCTCGTTAACGACAAAGCCATTATACATGGAGTAGTAAGCCCTCTGTATATTGTACCTCAGAACACTGAACCGGTGAAAGAAGTACAACAGCATGTCATTGAAAAGCCGAAAAATAATGGTGTGGCAGTAGATAACGTCAAAGTAAACGAGAAAATTTCATTGGATACAATGGTACTACAAAGAGATGCTCCTCCAAAAAAAGAAGATCTTAAACAATTTAGAAAGACTAACAGTATGAATATGGAACCAGCAGTGCACCACAAGCTTTGTGATCGTACCAAAAGTTCAATTTCTAGTAAGAAAAGTAGCATACATAGCACAGTAAACGAAGATTTGCTTCCTACAAAAGATCTGTTAAATAATAAAGAACCTGCAGCCCAACTAAAACTCGAAAAGATGGAGGAGAACTTCAATCTAAGAAATAATTCTCGTAGTTCAATGGATGCAGTCAGTAGAACATCATCAATTGCCAAGTCAACGGTAAGCACACATAAATCTAATACCCAAGTTGGGCCAGGGCCTAGGTTTTGCCATTTACGTATGCAAGCCGGCTCTAAAAACATTCTCCTTGACAATGCTGAGCCAGATGTACCGCCTGTTCTGTATAGGCGCCAAAGCAAATGCAACGAAAACTCTATATTTAAAGATCTCACGGATGACGTTGATAATTTTATTGATCTAGATAAAACTGATGATGACACTATTAAAGAAGATATTAAAAATGATAACATTGTTGTAGAAACTACTCTGATTGACGTCCACGTTGACAATAATGTCAAAGATGCTAGTGTCATCACCAAAAATCAACCCATTAATCCCGTTCTGTTAAATGTTTCATCTTCCCCATTACAACCACTCAAAACTCACACATTTTCCAACAGCTCCGAAAACAATAACAACAAATCTCAAAGTATTGAAAGTCAGTTAAATACATCTGAAGTTGACAATTTACTGAATGATTTCAATACAGAAATTAATATTACGCCAAATGACATCGATGAGAGTGACAATTCCAAACAACTTACCGTTGTAACCCCTACCGACAGTCATGATATGAAAATATTCAACTTTGATCGCTATGAACAAAAAAAATTAACTCACCAATATAATAAGCCTCTAAGGAAAATCGATATGTCACAACTACATTCTCTTGAAAACACAAAGATTTCAAAAGATTTACCGCCTCAAGGTGATATATTAAATATTGAGAAAAAACCGGAAGTAACGAAGAGTTCTTTACCTCCAATAGTTAATGTTTATCCAAATCTAACGCAAACTCATTTGAAAGTGAACGAAACTACAAAAGTTTTTACAAATGAGCAAAGTACGAGTTCGCTATCGAGCGATGATAGTGCAGCATTATTGCAAAAACAACAGCTACTTCGAGTTGCTGAATGGGTTGAGAAAAATCTTGAGCAACAAAACAGTTTTAATGATCCCCTAGATGAAGATGTCAGTTTCAATAACAGAGCTTTACGAAGGGACAGCAAACTATCGAGACTCACTGAAACTTTAAATGAACTAGCTCTTAACATGCCTCATCCTGTCAGTAAATATTCGAAGTCATATGCTAGAGATGAACGTACGTTAGTACACAACGTATTGTCACAAAATCAAGATAAAGTAGCCCACAAAAATCTCCCTCTCCAGAAACTTGCTAGTCACGTAGTCAAAGAGACCATATTTCCTGTGGAATGCGGAGACGCGACTGTCACTGAAGTCAGCGACAACTCAAAGCATATTGCACATGCTGAGGATTACATCTCTGTCACTGAAGAACTTAGAGCCAAATCTGATAAAGAAATTACGCCTGAAGACTTGGCGCGAATGGAGTACAATGTAAAGAAATTTTTGTTGAGTGGACCACACTGGGCAAATCCAGGATCGGCAGGGAGAAGTCGGCGCACAAGCAGTAAAACTGAGACTGATGTATAATTCCACAGTAGGTAGCTACGATAGGTGAAACAAGTTGCATTCCATTTTAATGTATAGGGTGAATACATGTATGAATCTGTGGCTTCTTTGCAGTCGCTGTCCAAATATTTTTAGTTTCGAGTAGAATCTGTTAGCTATTCTATTTTAAAACCTAAAAATATTTTCGGGACATGTTCCTAAATTTCCTTCATTGCATTAGGTATACAGAAGATATTTATTGCTCATCTTATAAATGTAGATTAATCAAACTAGTCTTTGTGTTTTTATATTGTGCTTCAATGATATCATAAGATTTGTACTGTATATAGTGTCGCGATTATGTAGTGTAGTGCTTTTTTACACTGAAAAGGGACGAGTCTGAGAAATGCACAGATATACTTAAGAGTAGGTCTTACAAATGGTAATGTTGTACAAAATGATAGGATCTGCACAAATTCATTTCAGAGCTTCGTAAAATTCGAATTTGTTTTATAAAAAAGTAGTCCAAACTTTTCAGTGTTAGTTGTTTGAAGATCAAAAACAAGGCTGTCGTTTGCTAGGATAACTTAATATAGGAATTAAAGTATCGCCAATTAAAGTATTACTTAAAACGAGCGGAGCCACATACTTGTAAACGTTTGGTATATATGTAGCAAAGGGGAATAATGAAGTTATGATTGTATGTAAATTACGTATAGGTCTTGTATTTTAAATAGATGTATCACCTAAAGTTTTTAAACGGTAATTGTGCGCTTTTGATAAATGTGATAAATGCAAATTATATAATAGTTTATAATTCGCCTGACGTACAAAATATTCTAGCCACTCCACTTGTCACACACCTATGATTAATGAAAGCTATATGGGAATAAATTATTTTCTTATAACTACACACTTATCACAAACTATTATGAGGCAGGGAAATTTTGATATATTATACTTAATACTTATACTTATTATACTTTATACTTATTATACTTATATACTTAATTTTTAATTATAGCTTGTGATACCTGTTTTTTTTTGTTAAATTAATTGTTACTATTAGTTTTTGTAGAGGAATATGTATAAAATTTTTGTAATTCTGTATATTTGTAAATAATTTATTTTACGGGCTTTTTATTTGTACAGAGTACCTGATCAGGTAATTCATAACATCTGAAATGCTATATTGTTTAATCTTCTATTCTTTTATAACGCATAGTCAATATTAAAACAAATAATATTGAAATATAGCTCGAGCAGGGAAGCCTTGTTTACTATTGATACCGTGACGCACTGGCAGATGTGTCATTCGAGTAATGTGGTTGTTTTGCGGAAAGTTGCGATATTTATTGTGATGTTTTGTCATTGTTTAATTAGAAGTAATAGCATTGAAACCTTAGAACACTAAGTAACTGCGTATATTGATATATTTAACACCCATACGCGTATATCCTAACATCGTATGTGCATCATTCTAATTGTGACGTCACTGATGACGTATGCACAATTTGAAAATGATAGTTGCTATTTATGAGTATTAAAAATATCTAAATTGTAACCGTATGAGAGATATGTTTCTTTATAAAGTTGTATTTGTGGAGCATAAGTCAAATCTATTCCAGAAATAACTTATTTAATATACATATTTTATTATATACTGTAATACTACTTCGTATACATTTCCCCATTAAACCTCTGCTTAATACAAGTTTTATATCAAAGTGTGTTATATTTAAGTGGGTGTCTTTTATGCATATATTCCTTTATAAATGGAAAATATATTTTTAATATTAGTTATAACTTGTGAGTGATCTATGTACAGTAGTTAGGAGATGAAATGTTAGGATGTAGGATCTAGCGTCGAAGGTGGAGTATGTTTAGCGTATTGAGCACAATTTAGTGTTGTTATGTGTTAGTAAATGTATCCACCAAATTCCAACAACGATTGCACACGTACACAGCGCCGGATGTACATAATGTACTATCGTTGTCAGAAGCATTTGTAATGGTTCCAAATTTGTTTCTTAGTACTACTCTACTACCAATGATATTTTAATTGTAAAACATGTTTTTTTTTTTGTTTTTTGAGTTCATGACTGCAAGACCTCTATCTCTTTATACTACTATACAGATTTTGACACAGTTTGACCTTTTCTTTTTAATACCAGATATAATTTTACACTCTTGTTCAAACTACTTGGGTTCAGCAAAAAAAGATGTACCTGCTTTATTATATTTGTTCCATGACACTCAACGGAAAATGAATTAATATGAGGAATATTAAAACAGATATTTAATTACATTCCATAGGGTTTACTAATTGTTAAAAAAATACCAAAAAAAAATGTGTCAATGAATTTTTATTAAATGGCTGACACGCCCGACTTCTATGAATTACTGAAATGTGGACTTATCCCGGCATTGGGTTATTACAATATTTAATTTATTTTAGGGTCAAAACAGATGAATCTAGACTATGACCACAAACCTTTGGCTTCGTTTTCACAAAATGAATTCGGGCACTTACCACAAAATTGAAAACTTTCAGATCAAAATTTTAAAACCAAGATATGGTTTTAGATAGAAAGATGCGGAATACAAACATACTCTGATTGCGATAGTATGCTTTGTAATATTCGTATCTCGTATCTTATAACATGACAGTAACGTTTACCTGTGGCTTTTGCAATGGTTAAATGATCAGAAGTGTGTCTTCTATAGCTTAAATAGCCGGTACATTATTTAAATTGTATTGTGTTCTCAATACATTTTAAGTACACCTTAACCGATCCACTTTATTGATCACGATGCTTGTTGCTGTCCTTAGAGTTAAGTTAGTTATAGAAATATGCTTTCGAAGAATATTCACAGAATGCTAGGGCTGCTCTCACTGATTAGCTTCAGCAGCGTAAATGTAATATGTGTTTATTTATTAAAACTATTGTGAACACGAAAAGAGTTTTATTGAATTGGTGCCTCTATAGCGAGCGTAGTCCAGTTTCCTTATTATAGTTTTATCCACTAAAGTAGTCCCATCTCAAGTGATTCCGTTCAATTTTAACGAGGGTACCCTACGAGGGTTTTCCACGTCTACTATTTTGGATCACCAAACCAAGAATCTTACTTCCAATTACTTGGCGAGCCTAAATTCTTCTAACATAAACTCTTTTCAATTTGTTCCAGTTGCGCAGGGCGAGATAAAAAAATAAAAACCTGTCTATCAAATACAACGCTGTTGCGAACAAATTAGCAGACGCATGATCATGACTATCCTTGAGCAACTTACCAGCAATCTCCCATATCATCAATTACACCTTATACTCCAGCACCTTACCCTTTTTTTTTTTCCGTGCGGAAATCCCCTCGGATACCACGTGTCGGTGGCATGTCGGACTCGAACCGACTAAAACCGCACGCCGTCTCGGGTACTAATAGGCGGGGAACCAGGTATACCCTAGAAAGGAAGTCCCTGGTGCCCCGACATACCTCGGGTCATCTACAGACGAGTAGACGACCCCCCCCTGTCACCCCCAGGTCTGCGCTTATGGAGGACGGAGGTCGTTCTGCGACCTCCGGCGCCTGAGTCGCCTCGCCTGCGGTACCTGGCCCGTTCCCGGGCCTGGCGGGCCGGGAGAGTCCTAAACCTCTCCCGGTCCCGCTCCGCCGTCTCCTTCGCGAGCATAACTTGCTCGCAGAAGGAGACGGCAGAGTTCCACGCACTCTCGCTCCGCACGATAGCCGCAATCAGGCTATTGAGTGAGAGAACTCCCACTCCGATGGCCGCCACGAGGTCTCGCCTCTGCTCAACCCACGCCGGGCACTCTGCCAGCGTGTGGAGAGCCGTGTCCACGGTCTGGCCATCGCAGTGGTGGCACTCAGGCGTTGGCTCCTTGCGGATCAGACACAGGTGATCCCCGAAACATCCTTTGCCAGTGATTTGCCCGTGACGCCTCTCGAGCCAATCCTCCATAACGGATCTTACCGCCGCGATGACGGCGTGCCCGAGCACCTTACCCTCACTTTGGCGTAAAGCGTATAACATTCCTCTACCTAAAATCGCAAATCCTTCAATTCTTCCCTTCCTCTCCAAAATTCTTGTAGCTTGTGTACATTAGCAGCTATCTGATTTTATCTACAAATGACTTGAAGCCCATTTCAATCCGGTTTTAGGCCTGGCTATAGCATTACCACTGCTCTCCTCAGTGTCTTGCGACATCAGGGTGGCCTTGGAAGACACAAAAGTGGCAATGCAGTTCTGGCTTTTAATACCGTCAGTCACTATATTCTCTTGTCTATCCTCTCCATCTTATGATCTCACCTGAAGCCCTGGAACGGTTCTCATCTTATCGTCGGGGACGCCCGCAGTACGTTGGTGTTGACGATCTCTCCTCGAGTTGGTGCGATGTCGGCTCTGGTGTCCCCTCAAGGCGGTATACTTTCTCCTTTGTATTTTTCTGTATTTATTAATCTCTTATCTATTGAACTTCGAAGTGCGTATCATCTGTATGCTGACGACCTGTACAGCTGTATTCCCATACTACTGCTGAAGATATAACAACAGCAATCGATAGCATTAACATAGATTTTCAAACGATTCATAACTGGTCTGAAAGGTTTGTATTATCGGTTAACCCGATGAAGTGTCAGGTCATAATAATCGGCAGTCACCGTTGGATGAACAGAATGCATTTCGAGACGCTTCCTAAAATAATTTTCAATGGTACCGCTATACCTGTTGGTCAAACGGTGAAAGACCTAGACTTACAACTTGACTGTACTCTGACTGGCGCGATCAAGTAAAATACGTTTGCCAGAGGGTGACCGGCATCATCAGAACATCGTCTAAAAAACTTTCTCCTCGTGAAAACTAAGACAAAGCTTGTGCAGTCACTTATCTTTCCTTGTAGCCGCTTTTCTTGTCAGGCGGACTACTCACCGGATTACCCAGTGGAGAGATTCACGAGATTACCTCAGGGCGCCTTGTAGAAAACAGAAGTGTGTGCGTGTGGGAAACCTATGGGACTCCTTAGAGAAAG